GCCAGTGACCTCATCTGTGACGAAAAATAGGCGACTTGGCCTAGCTAAACCCGACACGGTCGTCACCTGGCCGATCGTCTTAGGCGATTCCCTGTTGTGATACCTTGTAACTACAAGGTTTCGTGTCACTTCGAGCTGCGTCACCATATTGGCGATGGTACCAGCAAACGCCCGAGGAAATGTTTTGTGATCTAGGACGTCTTTGTCGACTATGGGATAGCGAACGGGAGGAGGAACGAGAGCGGCAGCTGGAACGGGAGCTAGAACGCGATCGATCGCGGAANTGACTTGGCCTAGCTAAACCCGGCACGGTCGTCGCCTGGGCCGGTCGGCTTAGGCGTTTCCCTGTTGTGATGGCTTGTAACTACAAGGTGCATCTTCGAGCTGCGTCACCATTTTGGCGATGGTACGAGCAAACGTTCAAAGATATGTTTTGTGATCTAGGACGTCTTTGTCGACTATGGGATAGCGAACGGGAGGAGGAACGAGAGCGGGAGCTGAAACGGGAGCTAGAACGCGATGGATCGCGGGAAATTTTGAATGCGGCTACTTGGGTCATTTATTCGTCCAGACGCCGATTCACTTGGTCGTTTGCGTCTTTCCACGAATAATTCCTCGATTCTGGGGATACGCGAGTGACGGGTGGAGCCGACGGTGTGTGTACAAATGCTGTCGGCTGCCTCTGCGAGTTCGTCTAGGGTAGCCTTATTTGCGAATATCCTAAGGAACGTNTAATTCGTCCAGACGCCGATTCACTTGGTCGTTTGCGTCCTTCCACGAATTATTCATCGAGTCTGGGGATACGCGAGGGACGGGTGGAGCCGACGGTGTGTGTGCGCAAATGCTGTCGGCTGCCGCTGCGAGTTCGTCTAGGGTAGCCTTATTTGCGAATATCCTAAGGAACGTCGCGACGTATTCGGGCAGTGCTTGCATCCAACAAATGCGTAGCATATTTTCACTTACGTGTAGGCTGGAAGCCAGGCTTCTCCTATAGCTGAGTAGCTGCTTGGGAGTGTATAGCCCGTTGTCCCCTAGACGGATTCTGTTCAGTAGCTGTTTGAAACGGTTGTCCTCCGTCATGCTGAAACGGTTGATTATCGCCTCCTTTAATGCGTCACAAGGTCTATCAGGTGGAGGATTGCAAACTACGTCCCTCAAGCCCGGGCCCATGAAGCGTGGGGTATGTCCCACGATTTGTGTGAATTTGGTGACTTGATTGGTCACCCTGGCCAACCGGAATTGTGCTTCCACTTGAGCTAACTAAAACTCCGGGTCTTCGAGGATGAAGTCTGGTATTCTAGCCACTAGACCACTAACGGGGGGGCTATCCTGCTGCTTTATGTTGACTTCTGCGCTGACTTGATTGTCGATCAATGAGTTTTGCATTATGTACGCAAGTGATGAGTAGATAAAAAATTTTGCACGAGCTCTATGTCTCAATTTATTGAAGGTAGTGAAAATAAATCATTTGATCCTTTGCCTCAGAGACATGCTGCAGATGCATCACAGCTGTCGTGTCATCATTGGCTCTTGTGGTCAGGAGCTGACACTTACGTAGAATCAGTGGTAGATCCCACTTATCCGACCACTTTCGAACTGCATCTAGATCCTGCTCCAGTCCTTCCCCAGCTAACTTCACATCATCAGGTCAGGTTGCACGGGACTGGTAGTGGCCACAGACCAATAAAACGTCCGGAATTCCTTCGGTGGTATGCTCACGAGTGTGCGTCCACTTCTGCGATTCACGATCAGTCAGTCAGCGAGTCAGTTGGTAGAGGACAGTAGATGGCCATGGCTAATCGAGCGTCCAGTGGTCCTTAGGTAGTAAGCCACGTGTTGGCCCCTACCAATGCGAGTGTTCTATATTGTAGTTATGCTCGTCCCAATCGTCTCCGCCCCTGAAAGGGAAGAGAAAGAAAAAACGTCTCTTCTTGTTCAGGTGAGAGACCTCACATTTGGAAGCGCTCCATTATTTCGGGTGTTTGGTAAATGAGAAAACCTATAACTTCTACCAGACCGTAAACTATGCGTCTAATTTGGAAATAAGTTCAACCAGCGCTTATCGAGCTCATTCATGAGAGCATGTACGCCTGAAGCTTACCAGTGTTGACGGCCTGCCGGTAAGTCTTCTTACGAGTCTCAAAGTGCAC